TTTGCAGCGCGTTTCTTTATTTGGTTGTGTTGTGAGCATTTGCAGCGTGTTTTTGTATTTGATTGTGTTGCGAGTATTTGCAGCACATGTCCTGTCAAACTGATGAAGATGTTTTCTTAATTTGCTGGTGCTTTTTCTATTTGCATGTGTTTTCTGAAGTTGCAGCGCATTGAGCTCTCTCGGCCACCGTACCTTTGCCCTGTTGACATAATGTTTCCTTAGAATTGCATAGAGATGCTCCCACACAGACCCAGGTGTGTTTTATTTTGAATTCATGCAACTCATACCTCAGATGCAGATACACGGATTCCAGTTAGATCATTGTGCAATTTCTGTGTGGTCCCATTGGTTAGATCAGTAATAATTTAACTGTTAAAGCATTGGTCTCAAACTCAATTCCTGGAGGGCCACAGCTCTGCACAGTTTAGCTACAAACCTAATCAAACACATCTGATCGAGATAATCAAGGTCTTCGGGATTACTAGAAACTTCCAAGCAGGTGTGATTTGGAGCTGGTTGGAGCTAAACTCTGCAAAGCTGTGGCCCTCCAGGAATTGAGTTTGAGACCACTGTGTTAAAGCAAGTCACTACATAATTGTTCATTCAATTATTAGTATAAAAACATTTTTAATGTGTGTCTTCAACTATGGGCACTTGGGTACCAAGTTTTATTTATTTTATTTATTTTTTTATTTATTTAAAAATTTGATTTTTTTTAATAAAAAGGTCAGATTAAACTGGAAACTCTACTGTACATGTTCAAGACAGACTACGCTGTAACTTATTCAGCATATTAGATTGTTATACCAGTAGGTGGCGACAAATGTCTTGTCTTGTCAGTGGCTACGCTTAAATGGACATCAGTAATCTAATTATTTACCTTATTCTGAACAAGACAATATTATGAAAAAGGTGTTTACAGTAGTAGCTTGTAGAATATATGCTTTCATTTTCCCGTTTTACATGTTATAGTACATAGATTGATTATTGGCACACGTCATTACGTCCCCAGGCGACGCCATCCGATGTCCCCTCCAGAATTTCATGTATCAACAAACAATTCGTCTTCGTTATGGTGCCATATACAGTTTTGGGTGTTTCATGTTTAATTTTACAAAATATTCAAGTGCAATTAATTATTGTCATGCTATACGTGAAAACAGACAATGGCATTGTTGAAGCCATGCTCCTTTATTTGTCGTCAAACGGCTGACCACTGCCGTGTGTGTGTCCAGTCGCAAAATGTGGCGAAAAGTCCTACACAACAGTAATAATGTGATTAAGGTGTGTACATGTCTATACTGCACTTCGATAATGAGACTAAAATAGGAATACTCCACATGTCTTAATTCGGTTTGTGTTTACTTCGAGTATGACTTTAGCCAGATTAAGGCATTCACTCTGTTTACATGGTAGATTCTTAATCAGAGTATTGTCTTAATTGTGTCTGAATATTGTTTTTTTATTTATATAGCACATTTCATACACAATGGTAATTCAATGTGCTTTACATAAAAGGAAGTAAAATAATCATAAAAAAATAATCACAACAATAAAACAAGGAATTTAAAAACTTTATAAAAACATTTTTAATGTGTGTCTTCAACTATGGGCACTTGGGTACCAAGTTTTATTTATTTTATTTATTTTTTTATTTATTTAAAAATTTGATTTTTTTTAATAAAAAGGTCAGATTAAACTGGAAACTCTACTGTACATGTTCAAGACAGACTACGCTGTAACTTATTCAGCATATTAGATTGTTATACCAGTAGGTGGCGACAAATGTCTTGTCTTGTCAGTGGCTACGCTTAAATGGACATCAGTAATCTAATTATTTACCTTATTCTGAATAAGACAATATTACGATTAAGGTGTTTACATGAGTTGCTTTTAGAATA